CACCTCTTACCTGGTAGAGAGAGAGGCATAGGGGAGATCCCCTGTGCCCCTAACCCTGCCGAAAGAAAGAGAGAGAGAGAGAGAGAAAACCGAGCCCACCCTGCCCGACCCCCCCCCCCCGCAGTGTCCTTCTACTCGCAAAAAGCAAGATCTGCCTTTGTCAGCACCCTCTACAGAGACAACTTCGACTGCTATCCGGACTCAGAGGCCGCCCCACGAAGGGGAGAATACAGGGAAGCCGCAACGCCGAAGGCCCCACCGCCTAGACCACCAAGCGGCTCAGAGGAGGAATGGCCTAGCGAAGATGAAGCCCCATCCGAAGAAGACGACGGACCCTCACTAGTGCAGCTGCCGCCTTCTACCTGCGCGAGAACTTCGACTACTACCACGACGCCATCAAGTCCAGAGGGGTTGGAAAGCTCAAGTTCAAGACCCACGCGCAGCCGTAGTCCCGATCGGGGAGCAGGCCCACCTCTACCTCAAGAACCAGCCTCCAGTTCTACAGCTACCAGGGGGAGTATGGCAACGCAAGAGGGGGAGGCTCAACGAGACGACCCCGACTACCTGAGGAAGCACGTTTTGCCAGGGGAATCCTGCCGCGCTGGAGAACCGGAGCCGAAACTACGCCCAACGCGGCAATCGTTGCAAGACGGGGGGGAACTTAGAAGAGTAAACCCTGTCCAAATGGCGGCGACACTGGTGGAAGTCTGACTTCCGGCACATCCTCAGAGACGCTGCGCGCCGCCTCCATCCGCAACGAGCTTGCAGAAGTGGGGGAACTTCTGGAAGATGCAGTGGCGGACTTCGGAGCTTCTATACGCTCTTCGGATACCGGGGGTTTAAGCGGGGGCGAACAGCCTTTGTGGCCGCCGTCGACATCCTTGACCAGATCGTCCTCAACTATGACGCGGAGAGAGACGACTTCACCATGGACCCAACCTCATTGCAAGAAGCGCTTCTGCGATTGGCAGAACAGCTCCAGATTGCAGCCCCGGTCCATAACACACTGCTGGGGGACGTGAGAGGGGAGCTCCCTTCTCAACGTCCGAGCTCAAGCTCACACGAAGTCGCCGCCGGAGACGGCGATGAAATGGGCCTCCTGCAGCGTGCCGAAGGGGGACGTACAGGGGGACGCCATGCCGTCTCCACCGTCCGGGGCCTGATCCGGCAGGGATTCTGAGGAAAGCTTCCAATATGCCGTCCAGCTGCTCTCCGTCCTCGACTACAACTTCCCTGACGAAAACAGTGATGGACCCTGTGATGCAGATGCGGTGTGGCTCCTACTCAGGGGGAAAGACTGGGGGAACACATCGACGGCATGAATGTTCCAGCAGAACGGACCAGCACCTACATTGGGGACGATATGCGGGGGACGAAAACAGTAACGGCAATAACGAAAGCCCCGACAACGTCATCTCCGACGAGTACTATGGAGACCAGAACTGCAACGACCTCACAGCCCTGGTGCAGACTATAGCCACCAAGACCCCCATCACCGGGAAGCAAGAGAATGCAGGCCAACACCACGGGGAACAGCGGGGGAGTAAGACATCGACCGCTACCACGCCGCGCCACAACACGCCCCACGGCATGAAGTGGAGTGCCCGCGGATGCCCGCGCCAGACAGGCATTGCGGGGCCGTTACTTGCGGTTTTCCTTCCCGGGACCGAAGTTTGAAGCGCAGCCGTGTCATCCCATCTGAGACGATGCTAGCATGACCCAAACGGGGAAACACAGCTCAACTCCCCTCCCATAGAGCCGAGCCCATCCAAACAAAGTGTTGGATGGGGTTGCGCTATCCCGCGGGCCGCGAGGACTGCTCGCGCCCCATACCCCAGAGCAAGAAAAGGACCAGTGTGATGCCGAGCTGGGCTCGTGGGGTGGAGGTTATACCTCTGTCTCACACCTCAAGCAAGCAGTAAAATGGACCAACAGGAGACGACAGGACCCCGAAAGGTGGGGGAAGGGGTCACGCCCCTTCCCTTAAGCCTGCGCAGAGGGAGCGAGAGAGAGAGAGAGAAGAGCGTCCTTTTTCTGTGAGCCCTGCCTTTACAGTGCATTTCTTGCCTTGCTACTGGCACCCGTAACAGGCCGGGGCGCACTCGCGCGCGTTGGGGAAGCAACTCCCCACCCCAGCCCTGGCGAAAGAAAGAGAAGAGCGTGTCATCAGTGCAAATGCCAGGGCGCGCATGCACAGGGGATATAGCTCAAGACCACCGTGAAGAAAGAATCCATCCAGCAGCTTATTTGCGGACTCATAAGGCGAATTCGCAAGCGTCCAGCAGTTAAGGACGGACCACCCAAACGTGGTGAAGCTCCATGAAACTTTCGAGGACCGCTCTCAGATGTACTTGGCAAGGTCCTCAGTATGAGCCCGTTTACAAGCCATCCCAAACTGGCGAGTTCTTAGACTTAGCCCGGGCTATCCCCCATGAGGTCATGGAGCTCTGTGCCGGTGGCGACCTGGACAAGCACATGAAGGGGCAAGGTGGTCCCTACAGTGAGCACCAGGCCTGAGATGTTTGGCCAGATTTTTGGTGTCGCACCTGCACGCTTAAAGGGCTTTGTATAGAGAGACTCAGCGCCGGTAAGTTCGTGCCCTTGTCCTGTTCATGGTGTCCCCACAGGCCGCTATCCTCATGGACCAGATTCTAAAAGCAGCAGCGTGCTCAGCCGTGAGTGGTGAGGCAACAATCGTGGCGTTGATTTATGCGTTGATTCTGTACAAACCTGTGCATTGGAGCAGTTGCCTTTTGTGCCTTTTCGAGGTGTCTTATCTTCACGACTGCAAAAGCATTTGTGCGCAGCCGAGCAATCTGATTAGCCGAGTCATCCCGAATGGTCATGGCAGAGCGTGGGTTGCTCGCGGGGTTCAGCCGGGCCGGGCTGTCGTCAGACTGGCAGTATCTTGACTTTGTCCCGAGGCCACAGAGATCTGAAGCTGCAAAACTTCCTCTTCTCTCGGAAGGCGCCTTAGACCCTTCCTGAAATGAAGACACAGGTCCTAGCTCCCGAAAGGTTTTCAATCGCTTCTCAAAAGGGTCTATAAATGGCAGCTGAAGATCGGGGGCTGAGCTGCCTCCGCTGAGAACTGGAAGCAGTTGATCACGGTAACTTATGCATTCTCAGTGTCGCCTGTCTGACAGCGAGATTGTCACGGCTGCCTTTCTGTGAGTCCTTGGAAGCGCAGCAGGCGCCTGTGGAGAACAACGTGTCGGTGCCCTTGTGCACTGCCTTGCACGTGGGCATGTTCTAGGATTCTAGGAGTTTCAAGGAGCTACAGGGGGTTGACCTAAGTCAGGAGAATTTCCGGTAGTTTAGGGTGGGAACGAAAATGCATCATGAACATCGAGTGCCTGTCAGAGCCGGCTGGTTGCTTGGGCCCCGTGACCCCGACTTGTGTGTCACACCTTTAACACTTCCATGTACAAGCAATGCATCTGCGCTGAAAGGCTGAAGTTGGCGGACTTCGGCCTGGCCTGCAGCTTCGAGCCTGGGGGAGTGCCCTCCAGAAAGCCTTGGAAGACTTCTGGCAGTTCTCTCCTGCGACTCCTTACTTCCAGTGGTCGCAGGTGCTGGCGACAAAAGCCGGCACAGTTTCATACTGCTCGCCGCAGGCACCCGGAATCGCAACGTGTGTTCCACTCTCTTTGGGCCTGCCTCCGATTAAAGACTGTGTCGGACGCTGATGTATTTTACAAATTCGAAACTGTTGCGAGCTTCAATGAGAGTGGGTGCCGTGGAAGCCTGGTTTCTTGATAGATGACACTTGCACAGCTTGTAGCATGAAGCGAGCTGCAGGTCCTGGGAGGTGTCTACGACAACTCAGCAGACTTGTGGAGCTGTGGCGTCATCATGTATGTGTCGAACCAAGCTTGCTACTGCCAGTGTTTCATGTAGAGATGTTTCGTGAATCTTCAAGGACATGTAGCCGCTGCGAGCATAGCGTGATCGGGTGAGCATGCAGCCTTGTCTGCTGAACGTGCACCGGTACTTTGTGTGGCGGTGAGGCATCCGCATGATTTGGGTGTGAGCTTGCTCAGATGCTGCTGGCTGCGCAGCCACCTTTCCCTGGCAAAAACGATGCCGAGGCCAACTGAGCTGCATACGGTTTCTGCAGCTGGCACCTGCCAAGTCGGCATGTCATTCCTGGGTTCAGCCGGAAATAGAACTGGAATCCAGTTGGACCACAGCAGCCATGTCTGACAGTGCCTCCGCAGGTGGCTCAGCGTGTCAGGAAGGGGAACTACGTCTTCAGCGATATCGCCTGGTCAGCAGTGTGGGGAGCTTGCACTGCGGTTTTAGTTTTTGCTCGCAAGCCACAGGGTCCCAGAGGGCAGCGCTAAGCCTGCTAAGCCATTCTCGCAGATCCCGGAATGCCCATAGCCTCAGGCATTGCTTCCGGCCAAGGTCTGAGGAGGCAAAGAACCTCGTGCGAAAGCTCCTGAAGTATCAGCCCTTCGACAGGGCTACAGCAGTCCAGGCATGGCACCAGAGGGTCTCGTATTGGGAGTGGATTTCTTGCCGCTGCAGTATATATTGGAATTGCAGTTGCCATGGAACGAGCCATGAGTCAAGATGTCAACTGTGGCTCCCGTGATGCAGTTCCATGTGCATCCGAGCCGATCAGGCCCGTTCACATGCCTGGTTCCTGTATGCAGCGCCGTTCCTTCGGCATGCAATCCCCGTGCAGCCAAGCGTGGTGTCGGTGCGACTCCCGGCAATCCGCTGAACTTGAACATGCACCATCGCTGAAGTCCGCGAGCTGCCTGTTTGCCATCTCCAGACTCCCGTTCAGCGTGAGATCATGTCTGATTTTGTGCGATGCAGGCGGCATGAGACTTTTGTCTGCAAGTGGATGAGGACTTACTTCGTTTTTCCAGAAAGACCACGTTTCAAAGGGTGGCTGCCTCAGTTCAGCAAGAGCTCGGCAAACCTGTGTGAAGTGCCCAGAGTGGCCAGTTGCATTCCATTTACAAGGAAAGCAGTTCTCGGCTTGTTGTCCACTTCGGTTTCTTTAGGCTGGCGGGATAGAGAGTCATGTCCTAAAAGAATCGTTGCTGCCGCGCTCAAACAATAGCAATGTTTCCGACCAGTTCAACATGAGAGTGAACGATTTTCTGCGTAGTAAGTTAGGCCTTGGCTCAATGAGAACATTGATGTTGTCTGACTCAGTCAGTCCCACAACCGTACGTTAACTCTACTGATACCTCAACTTATCTCGGGCCTAGGGTCCTCGCATGCACTAAGCCTCACGAAGCCTTGCATCACCTTGTTTGTCAGAATGTTTTTGCCAGCAAGGCTGCCCTGCGTGCTCTCGCAATGCAGCTCGGCCAGGCGAGCACTGTTTCTGTGGATCGATGTGAGTTAAAGATTAAGTGCATTGCGGCCGCGATGGGCGACTGCACGCGAGTACTCGAGCAGACACACGAGTACGCTCGAGTACGCTCGAGTACGCACGAGTACGTACGAGTACGCACGAGTACGC